GGACTCTCGTATGAAAAGGTCGGGTTGCTCGTCGGAAACTTTTTATTAAACTCCTAAAGAAGAATAATCTGGGTGTGGTTAGAACTTTATTTGACGGAAGACGGAAGAAGATCTGGCTTTCTTGCACCACGGCGTGAAATGAACTTGCAGTAAACGTCTGAAGAGTCATCTATAAGGCTTTGCTCCAAGTTAGGAAGACGGGAGGATATCTCGTGGTAGAGATTCCTACTTATAGTTACAAATTAAAATCACTTTGAATAATTCAGCCACTGGCACAAACCGTGATTAAACCTAGGTAACAAAACAACTGCGACCACAGTAACAATAATTCTGCACTGTACATCAAGGGAAGGAGATATAATTCTTTACAAAGATTTCCCAGAGATGCCAAATATTTTGTTTTAAAATACAGTCCCTCTGATTCTAGTCATAAAGTGTTAAGTCACTCCAACACCTGCAAAGCAGAAAATTCCCAGTCTGAAAAGGGTTAACCCATGGGATTATAGGCATAAAACAGGATAAGCCAAAATTGGTCACACCACTGAACTAGGCAAGCCATAATAGAGTAAAAATTAAACCAAGTAATAGACTAAACAATAATGTACAAAATTAATCATATATGTTTTGAAATGCAATCAGCGTTGCCACCCACAAGAGCAAAACAAAATCCCTGACTTTTCCCCGACTGTAAAGCAATTTTCACTGACTCTGCAGGATGATTATTCTGGCCATGAATCAACAAAAATAAGGATGGCTCAGACAATGTTTAAAACAAAATTCTTGTCTGTACGAAAAATCTAATAAAATAATTACCGGCAATCTATAGATAAAAATTATTATCATATGGCCCGTACGGCCCTGCACGCCATTTCCTTTGAAAACCATAAGAGAAGGGGTCCCGTATGAGGGCCGTACGCGTAGAAGTGATAGGGCCGGAAGAACGCGTACGGCCCTACTAGAAATGTGTACGGCAAAATTGATGCAAATTAATGACAGAATGCAAAATTTTGTTTTATTCTAAATGAGTAATGAAAGTGAACATTCTAACAGCGAATTTTACTACCCTGGCAAACTGCCCTATGCAGAACTACTTCAGTTGTCAACTTAGTCCAAAAGCACAGAAAGGAAGTCAACACTCCTCACAACTGCGGACGTTCACAACTTTATCAGAACCCAACAACAGGCAAACACTGTAAAGAAAACAACTTATCTGGATGAACTGTCCGACAAAGATTTTTTGGACTGAATAAGCAAACAGTCTTGAGGCGAAACTTCTTTCAGTGGAAAACGTCAAAGAATTCATCGTATGCGCGGGTCAAAAGCAGGAAAACACGGTGAAGAAAACGAACGTTCAGTGCGAAATGAACCTTTTCTCAAGTTTCTAGAAGAAGTTGGAGAAACCAGAGAAATCACAAACATACCGTGTGCACAGTAGGATAAATTGAAAGGCCGTATGCAAGAACGTTCCCTAGATTTTTCGGCCATTTTTGAAAGTGCTTAAAACTAGCTGAATTTTGGCATGTGGGCTTCGTTTCA